TCTTCAAGCAACTTAAAGAAGTCCAGACGCTTTTCTTTGCAAGCTCCTTTGATTATAGTATCTGACTATTTACCTGCCCTGCAATAGACTGGTGACTTGTCCATGGTGCCCTCCGCCTCTTGCTCAATGACAGCTGGAATAGGCTCCAGCAACCCTGAATTGGATGAGGGAATTTGATGGATGGATGGACGGACGGACGGATAGATGAGTCATTTAGCCGCTAAATGAGCTCCTGTCTTCACATGGTTGCTGGAAACATTACCTGTGTGCCATCACCTGTAGTGCTTGGCAGATGCTATGATTTGTGTTAATGAAGCTAATGAAAGCAAGAAAGTTTGCTAGAAAAGCAAGGTTGCAGGCTATAGGACCAAAAAGACTTAAAAAGATACTGAAACACCATCTCTGCAGATTCGAGCTAGGGGCTTGTCACTGTTGTTGGGCATTTCACAGTATACACAAAATGGATCAACTATATAACAAACAAAAAGAATTCAGAGTAGCAGCTGTTCTTATTTCGGTTCAACAAATAAATTAGCAGACAAAAAGTAAGCTTAGTGCTGTTTACTTTTCTCCCTGATCAACCCCATGTGAAATCAATGGTATATCATTAAAAATGAATTAGTTGCATTTTTCTAAATGAATATAACAAGTCATTTGGAGAAACCTCACAAACTCACAGTGACTCATGTGACAGTGCCCGTGGTGATTTTTGTATAGAGCTCTGGGTTCAGAAGAGCAGCTGCTGGGAGAAACAAATTCTATAAACATTTCCTTGGCAACCTTGGAGCACTTGAAGGTTTACCCAATATGACTGTGAATATTTTAAGAATCACTGCTGCTGAAAAATAACACGGGGACATAAAGATGTCTCTTTCAGAATGTTATTTTGCTGCATGCTGGGAAATATGTAAAGTTGGTCCACAGGGTGCCAGAAAGAGAAAATCTCACAGAAGCAGCTAATCACAAATATGTGTACAAAACTTTGTCTGTCGATCATTTTAGTGTAACAGCTAGTATAAACAAACTCTATGCAAATAACACCACATTTGGCGTCATACACAAATTACCATGTGAAACTAAACACAGCCTTTCAGGTTTTCAGTTACAATGCACCATAAGACGGCTTTGTGCATGTAAAATATGTGACCTTTGCTGAATGAGATGTGACACAACAGCGCCGTCAATCTCAAGGCACAGTATTTGACTGCAATCCACTGGTGGTCTTTGCCCCTTCATAGCAAGAGGGCTCCGGGGTAAGCAGTGGGGGTAATCGGCCCCTGCGTGGACACCAAAGACGTTTGTTTTAAGCAGGCGCCAGCTGGTCTTGACTACTGTAATCTCTGCAATTGATTAAATGGGTTCCCAAGCCTTAGCGGGTACCAGCCTCCTCACAGAGCCGGACCACAGTGAAGGGACCTTGCAAATGAACGAACACACCCTGGGTCGCTGTCTTTTAGTTTGATGAGGTGTTGCTATGAAAGACATTGTAGCTGGCAGCCCCAGAGAGATATTACCTGCTGTGTCTGTCTATAGGACAGGAGGGGAGACACTGGCGAAATGAGTAGTGTGAAAGATGTTTTGAAAGATGTTTGGCGATATTCAGGGAGAGTAAGAATGAGTAGAGAGGGACTGCTGGGTTCAGCTCTCTACAGAGCCATCAAGGAATATTTTGAATACCTTGGAATAACATCATGGCATTGACAGTTAAACAAGAAAATGAAGGGAAGTGCACAAGCTTTAAATGCACATCAGTGCAAACACAAAATGACACAAATATCTTCCTCAGTATTGGTAGATAGTCAGCTTCAGAGCTTTGAATAGATCAAATTTGTTAAAAGTATAATAAGCTTAACTTGTTTATTAAATTGCTGGCGGTGGTGAATGTAGCTCTGTTTCTAACCTTGACTCCAAGAAATTAGCTTTAAAAATACTACAAGTGTGGAACAGCAAGGTATTAAGCTAAAATATGCCACCCACATTACTTTGTCCGCATTACCTGTTTGTCACCTGCTTAGAATTTTATCAGCACCTTTGCTCGCATTGACATACACTGTGCATAAAGATGTACACCTTGTAACCTCAGCCTCTGGTTTGTGAACCACATTTTTCTAGCCTAAACTTAAGCATTGTGGTTGTTACAGCCTAGTTTTTGTAGGTAAATGTGACCATATTTAGTTGAGAGGGTGGGCGATGAGTTATCAGCTGACGCCAGGTCCTGCTGCGTCCTGTAATTACTGCTATCATGCAAACTCCAGTCATATCTACTGGTGGAAGCATACCATAGACATCTAAATCACACATACTGTAAAAAAAAATGGTCCCACCAAAAATAATCCTGACCGCAAAAACATTTCTACCTAAAACTACAGAAATATAGTCGGAGTTTAGAAAGTGCTTTTCTAAGAGCCACTGTTGCTTCATCTTAGCCTGGTAATGTAAGGGGTTTTAACATTGAATCTGTTTGAAACTTGATGTGATGGAGGTGATTTACACACATAACACAAGTAATCAGAATGTCTGAAATCCACGTAACAACCAGCAGCTAAATCTATGAACAGTAACACAAATTAACTTAGAAACAATTGGAAAGGACTAAGCTAATTATAACTGAAAGCCAACATAAATAAATGGTAGAAAGGTACCATAACACCAAAGTAGAGAAATAAAATCTTTTGCTGCAGTGTAGCAAAATTGTGTGCTTACTGCACCCTAAATATAACCCCATTTTCTACAGTATCGTTTGATATCCTAATTTACATAGCTATGACTATGAATTGCCATACAATTTCTCCTGGAGAGCACACAGGTGAGAGCCAATACATCACACAAGCACTTGAAACTCGAGCGATGGCGAGAGCTGATGTGCTCTGGGGGCAGTTTTCCTCAGGGCTTACCTGAGTCGTCAGAGGCAGGGGAGATGACAGGCTTCTCCATCTAACAGCCTCTCGCTCTAATAACTGCAAGTCCCATTTCAGAGAAACCCGCCGCGTGACTGATCAATGTCGACAGGTAGTTTCAAGGCCGCTGCTCATATTGCCCAGAACAGGGAACAGCACATTTTCCTGAGGGCTCAGCTGTATCTGCCTGTTAAATTATATAACAAACTTTATTTGTGTAGCACTCTACAGTGCTTTCAAAACAATAAATCCAGGAAGGTATTCAATAAAACTCCAGATGTATGCATTTTTGGGGGGATATTTTAATACAGATCCAATTTTGTAACGCTACCACAGCAATTTCAAAATCATAAATCCAAACATTTCAGCTGCATTTTCAGTTACTGTTATTATTAATTTAAACATAGCAGTGGGTGTACTTGGTGTTTAAACAAACTAAAACAGGACAGCACAACCATAAAGCAAACATCTTGAGCCTGCACATGATGAGCAAAAATTTCCACTCATGCAGTTTCCTTTGCTATAAAAATTATGGGTAGATACTACATTTGCCAACTTCAATACCCATCTCCAACAGCAGCACGTCATACTTTTAGACAGAAAACACCCACTATTGGCCAGCCAGTTTCCATGGAGACCGCAGTCTCCCTTCCCTCCTAGGAAAGTGTAAACAGTGAGTGAACATGAGACGATTCATATAAATTGTTTCCTAATCTTGTTATTTCTCATTTCCATGCTGAAATGGATGTTGGATTATAAGTGTGCGGGAGTGCAGAGAGCAAAGGTCGCAAAAAAAAGAAAGAAAAATGAAAACGGACATTTTACGGAAGTGCAAGGCATGATATATTACGGTCTGCCATCTACTGCTGCCTTTCTGTGAAATTCTCAGTGAAAAATCATATTTAGTAACTCTGTGAGGCTTATACTACAAATAGACCACATGGTTACATTAAGATGTAATCCCAGGAGTACAATGCAATTTGTACAGATATATTAAGTGCAATACAAATTCTTAGCAGTTGCCAACTTGGCCAAGTGTTGACAAGGCAGACAGTCATGCCCTGTTGCTAGCTCGCTAAAAACTAGCTAGCTTGCAAACAGTGGCTGAATTTGCTTTTTAATGTTGAGCGTTAATTTTCCTGTAGAAGAATTTACTGTTATGTATGCATTATGTGAAAATCTTAAAAAGCTGTAAATGTGACAGCTAGTGCAACAATCACTGCTAGAGACCAGTCAGTGGTCGTCTGGCAACTATCAGTATCCTGTGACTATTTGGTGAATGTTTGCTGGAGGTTACTGGAAACCACTAGGGTGAAATTGGTCACAAAGAGGTATATGGTGCTTTGGTCATTAGGTTGCATGCGATGCTGCAGTTGCCCAAAACTAGTGTGGCTATAGTAGCAAACTACTTGCCAAGTGATCTTAAAACTGAGAAAAGTGACACAAACAGAAGTGTCGCCTTTACAGTAAAAGCTCTTTGACGATCCTTTAAATTTTTTTTATATGTTTTTTGCATGGTAATGTACAATTGTCACTCTAAAGACAGATATTCTCTTTTTCCAAGATGCATGCAAATGCTGGGAGATCACAGTGACCAAAGAGTGACCAAAGAAAAGGCAAAGAGGTTTTTCGTTTTGACCAATTTCACCCAGGAACAGCTAGCACCTTCCAGCAATCACTTGTCAGCTAGAAGAGGAATGCATATTTTTCCCTAGTAACCAGTTGTTGCCAGATTGTTGCTGACGTGTTTGACTGAGAGCTTAATTTTAAACAAGAAGATAACTTGCTGTGTTCAATTTGGGACACCAATACCGTAAGTATGTAGTACTTGCATTGTACAAATAATGGAACTGTAACAATAGAGGAATCCAAACTCAGACACACTGTCAGAGACTACAGTCGTGCTAATAAAATATCATAATCACTCTAATTTTATTTTATTTATATGTAATCCTAATGTACAGCAATCATGCACAGCATTTTATACTGTAACCACACCCCAAATGGGGTAGCACGTGACAGCAATTGCTTTTTAAGATAAGTTTTTTCTTTATATCATGATTGTCCTTACCAGTCAATGGTTTTTCATAAAATGGGGTTTTATTGCATTTCACTCCAACCACAAATCCCAACCTATTGTTGGTCCTAGTGGAACAATCAGCATTGTTGCTAAAATAAGGGATCTTCATCCTGTGGGAACCACGTCTGTACCATACTCGTTCCATAACAATCTATCCAGTTGCCACTGAGTTGTTTTCCCTTCAGTGGACTCATTTCTTGTGCTGCAGGCTCTGTGTAATGTCAAATAAATCACCTTGGGGGTTGAGATATGGATTCCTAACACTCCCATTTTTGTCAGGCAAGCTCGACCGATTTGGACCTCGGTAATCTCTGACTCCTTTGTGTCTCTCCGGATGACACTTTACCTACGGCCTCCTTCTTTGTGAACTGAAACACAAGACAGAGGGGTTAGCCGCTTCACGGCTCCTGCATTTGCTGGTCTGCTGGATTTCAAAAAGAAGAGCTATCTTTGCTCCTCATAAGTGTAATGTCCCCAGGTCAAGGCTTTATATCATGTCCAGATATGAAAAGACTGTCAGTGGGGCAGGGGCCCATGAAATAAACACCTCTTGACTACCACCACTACCACCATACAATAACAATTAATAAATTATACTGGAGTTGCAGCCTCTGAATACTAAAGCTCATTTTCAGAGTGAGGGGCTAAGCTTCTTTTCCGATTATGCAAGTAGTGAAATGATGCCATTTAAAGACTACAGTACCATTTACCATGTTTTGCACTGGTGTTTTCCACACTGGCATTTAGCAGAGTACTCTTCCTGGTGGGAGAAAGCAGAGGGTACACTGGGGGTTCATGATGTGCATTCATGTAATACCAAGAGCCACTACAGTTCAGTGAGCTAGAAACTATATTACCGCTCCCACTACACGTTCACATTTCCATCTGTTGCCCGATTTGCTGGTGTGGATTAAGCTGCACGTTATGACTGTATTAATCCTCTGCCTCACATTATCTTGTTTGTGTGGAGAGTAATGCATCTGACTTGATGAAGTGAATCCAATCTTTTGTGCTTCCCTAGAATAAAAACAGCAGTGATGGATTTTACAAATCCAGTTAGTATTTTCTGCCTGGCCCCTTCTGCTGATTGTGTGAGTTTAATATCGCATATTAATGGCTCAAGTAATTAGCAAAGTGAGGGCAGTCCATTATAATCATTATTGTTCTAATCTAATCAGGGATATATATTACTTACAGAGGAAACAGGCTAACTGCTTCTCAAGGACACATATGCATCATTAATAAAATCAGGGAGAGATCAGATTGTCCTTTTTGACTTCAATTGGACTTTCATCAAAGTTCAAGAGGTTACATAATTATAATCACACTGCAGCTGCATAACTATGTTACTTTTTTTTTTCTTTTTTTTTTTTTCTTTTCTGGAAGTAACTATGTTACTAACACATTTGCAGAAAAATGCCTTTGTATGGGTTGGCTGCCTTTTAGGGGCATGTCTTGATATAGGATTTAGCACTAACATCAGTTTTGCACAGCTGACCGGGGCATGTCATACTCTATCTATACTAAGAACACCATGGCAACCATTGGTTATAAATCCCACAATGTAAACTTCATAATGGAAAAAATAAATGAATAAAGCTGTCTTCTGATGTCTTCATTGGAAGGCAGCTGAGGAAAAAGCACAAAAAGCAGACAGTCACTGTGAAGAATTTACCCATATGGAAAAGAAATAGTAAAAACTTATATGATTTACTCATGAAAGTGGCCACTTTCATGAGTAAATCATATAAGGCTTACATGATTTCCAAAACATACAAGTTTCATTATATAATTTTTCAAGGGATCTTATATCTGTTTTCACTCTTGTATGCTTTTCATACAAGTTTCACACAAGACAGATACAAACTTTATAAGATTTATATATATCTTTTCCATATGGGTAAAGTTAGGAAATTTAAAGATGATGTTTGGGTTAAAATAAACTTGCTCTTTACACCAATTGTGTTGAAAAATGACAAGTTGGGTGATACAGTTAGAGGTTAAAGTTGGCCCAAAAAAATCCAGAGCTGTAATCCAGTACCATCAGTTAATGAGTAGTGAAATCTTATAGGCAGTTTAATGGAAAATTACTGTCAAACAAGTACATTTGTCATGTGCTATTGCCTGGCAGTCCTACTAGATGATGCCTCAGAGACTGTAAAATCAATGCATGGTCCCACATGCACATGTCCCTTTTTCCTTCTCACCCCTGTCATACCATGCACGCCGATGTCAATAAAATTGTGGCCATGGTATTTCTCGCTAGCTCTACTAAAGAGGACCAAGCATAAACAGGGTAACTTTTTTGTAACATGTAATTTCAAATTCCGTTTTCAAACAGCACAACAAATATACACCCTCAACAAATGTACACCCACACAAGTTGTTCATGTGCAGTTAGGCACACAGTGTGTATTGCTAGTACAGCTGCTGTATTTTCAAAGGGGAAAAACAGTTAATCAGAAGCAAGATGTAAGAAATAGAAGACAGGGGATTACATTTTCTTAAATAAGAATTTAAAACAAATATGTAATCTTCAAATTAAAGCTACGTTTTTTAATCAGACAGTGACTCTGCACATGATGTGTTGGGGAAGATGGTTATTTCATATTGAGAAATGCCTACAAATTAAATGACAATTGCATGTTATTCAAAGTTCATACAGGGCAGTAAGTGCAGGCTAAACTGCAGTATGTGGTGCAGTTTACAGTAATGGACTTGCACTGGCTCAGAAAAGAAATGAAATTTTGTGGCTTTTTTCTAAGTGACTCATTTCCCCAGCACACTGCTATATCAGTGTGGGTTCCCCAGCCTGCCAAATCCCACTTAAACCACTGCATCACACATCACCACCAAAGGACTCATTATATGTAACTGAGACACACCAGTAGCTTATTTTACTCTTGTGAATAAGAAGGAAATTAAACAACTGCTTCACTGGAGAGTAAAAGGTGATGTCTCTGTTGTGTTCGTGACTTTTTACTTTCCTCAAGTGACCAAAAACTCAGTTATTGTTGGTTCAATACTGTAATAACGGAAAGATTTAGGTTCGGTGAAACAACAATTTTACCCCCCGTGCCAGAAAGGTTAGGTTAAAAAAAAGTATGTTCCTAAACTGCACTTGTAGAGTTTCATATTGTGCTCTAAATCAAAACATCCTTTACTATACTGTGCAACAGTGGAATAAAAAAATTACCAAACAGATAAGCAGGACAAATATAGGCAACTGAACTGCACCAGGCTGCCACACAATTGCACCTTTTTTTGTCTACAGATTTTTCAGCCCCACTCTACCCTTTCACAGCGAATTCCCTCTGCTCGTCTCATTGATTTAGAGTTATTACCTTAGGCTGTAGAGTGGGAGCAGTCTGGGATAAACAAGGCCAGTGATAAGAGTGCATGAGAAACCTGCGTGTCTGTATTTAATAGCTTCTGCGATGGGGTGCCACTGTTTGTGGAGCCCTTGGGATTTCATTACACAAAGACAAATGGATGATCCAGGCACAGCTGAATTTTGGGAAGGTGGAAGGCAATTTAGGGTGGGGGTGGGGAAGGGCTGGGTATGGGTGGGGTGTGTGAAGGAGGGACAAGCAATTAGCCTAATCAGTAGCAGCATGTCTCAAGTGGCTTGAAAGCTTAGAGTGAGGTGACTTCGTGAGAGGTGATGCTCACAAAGAGAATGTCCATTTCTTGTCTAGAAAGTGCACAATAAATCAAAGGACCAAAAAAAGGACATTTTTCATTTATTAAGGCTTTGAGATGGATTGAGAGACTGACTTTATTCACAACCATATATGATTTTATAAGAACGCATGGAAAAACAATTCGGCTTAGGGCTGGTTTCGTACACAATAAGCTGTTTTTGCCAGTAGTAACGCAAATATATCATTACTAGGTGCACATCAAACGCTCGTCACTGATACATTAGGAGTAGAAGAGATTTCATTATGTCTCTGGGCGGTTTCCAAAATGGATACCAAATGGATAAGCATGACACATACAGGCAACCTTAAAATAATAACCATTCAAACAGCACCATCCTAGAGCTTCATAGGGGAAGTATAAGCTCTTTAAGTGGTTAGGTAAATGGGAAATATTCCTACTCCTCAACTTGAAGCATCTGGCTGATAGTCAGCTACACACATAAAAAGGATATAAACAAAGACATTTAAATTTAACAATCACAACTATAATGTTTTTATCCCTTATAACTAAACTAAAACTGCATTTTATCAGTGTAAAATGCAGTTTTGCATCTCATAATAAATGCAGAATTAGCATTTATGAGCACTTAGGAAAGGAGGAAAAAAGTATGTTCTCATGGCTTTAGGAATGAAAAACATTTACTGGCTCATAAAAATTCACAGCCCTTTGTTAGATGAAATTACATGTCACCCATAAGTTTAGGAATAGTCTGTTAAGGAATATGTGAGTAAATCAAATGCACATATAACTGCTCAGAGACCTGTTTTCTTCTTTTGCATGCACTTCTCAGAATTTGTTTATCCCAGCTGTTGAATCTTTTTACAAAGAAAATGCGGATTTTTCTCTCTTTTATTTCTTAAGAATAGTGAAGAAAAGGAAATCTCTATTTCATGAATGAGCCTTGACTGAAACACATTTCTCTGTAGTATTTTTGAGCTGAGCCTTTGAAGTCACAAGTCTCCTAATGCTTCCTCTTGGACTGGAGCTTCAAGAGCTTGTTTTAATTGCTCCCAGAGAAAGAGGTGAATGGTTAAGGGCTAACAGATTCTATGTAAGGAGGATTACTGTAATCTGAATACTAAAATATAAGCAGGTGCAATCTGTTGTTGACTGTAAGAAAATCTGCTGTTTGAAGCCCACATCCTTTGGAATCTGCAGGGCAAGAATTTAATGAAAAGTAATCAGATTATATTACATAGTTTGCTTTCAGCGTCTCATCAGATATCTAATTTTAGACATATGGAAGAATGTGTGTGTTTGGAACCAGTGTGAAGGACCACAGGAGCTAAAGAAATCGAATGAAAACAGGGTTTATGCTGAGACTGCACCGACTTCATATTTCTAAGTGTACATGAACATAAAATAAAACTTAGACCACATAAATCAAAACACTGAAAATGCACAAAACTCTCTCTGGAATTAATCATAGTTAAAGCTTTTGTATATCAGTGACAATATGGTATGAATATTGCTCATCAGTTGTAATTTGTCTGCCATTTGTCTGCTTATCAAACATTTATATCAAATCAATATGATAATCAAAACATCAGCAGCATTAAAAGCTTTTACAGAAATACTTAGCAAGCCAGCATAAAATCAATAAGTGCACACAGACACTCGCCACAGGGAGTCATTAGAAACGTCTAAAGCAAATTCCCTCACATACATCAAGCGTGGTGAAACACAATAGACTTTAAATCCTGTTGTTCAGTGACTGACTAGACATAGCGTGGCTTATTGCCATCGTGTTGACACAAATTCACTTCAACAAGAGAGGTCCTCTCCTAATCATTAATTATCCGACGAGCTTAATGACCTGTGTAACGTGACATTACAACCATGAATAGTGACGACGAGGAGTACTCTTAATCTCATTTTTTTTAGTTCGATAGATGCACAGACGCCAGTAGGCTGCAGCTGGTAATGAGGTAGTGTGATGATACCCCTTGCCATTTTCCTGCATGCATCAACTGTTCTTTTTGTTAATTAGATAGAAATATGCTTTTGATGGAGTAAAGTTTACATTAGAGAAGACAGCTATCTTCAGTAGATGGACTTGTGATTCCCTTTCCAAATTAGACAAGCATTTGGTTATAGCCCTTAGAAATATCCATGTTTTTATGTTCTGTTAACCAAGTCACATATAATAACAGCCATACTGGTCTCACAGACAAATTTGTATTATATGGTGGTTGTTCATAATATATTAAAATTATGTGCCCGAAACATCGAGTGTGACTACTGTCTTGGAGAATCCTAAACAAACATTAACCTACCACAATAAAAAGGACAGACTTACTCAGACAACAAGAGGTGCCCTGCTGCCCCCGAGCATGATCTTTTCCCAAACATAATCAGTTCTTTTGGTGCCTGCTGTTAACCAGCAATGAGTGAAAACAAAAGTGTGTTGATAATACAGACACTGAATGTGTAAACAAATAAACAAGATGGATGTGAACTCTTGGGATTAATTGCTTCACTACCACCATCAAAATCTCATTTTAGTGCAGATTTTATGTTATTACCTCATATTAGCTAAGGAATTTGTATAACCACTACAACAAAGCTCTTCACTGGCTTTCCATTTTCACATAATTTGCTGTTAAGCAGCAGCTACTGAAACCTTGAAATTGTCAGTGAATCTCTTACACTAAAGTAATAATAAAAATTAAATCATGAAAAATACTGAATGTCCTTAGCATGCCAAGAGTACTTTTTTTGGTGACTTGGAATGGCATAATGTGCATAGAAAGTGTAACCAAACGGTTTCATCTTGTTATTGCCGCTCCAAACATGTGAAGTTCCCTACTGTGCCAGATGTTAATTGGATAATCAATCTCTACTAAAATGTACTGGTCTAAGACCTTAGTGCTTTATCAATGTCACTATGTCAGCAGCTTCCCTGTCCTCATTTCCTCCATTCGGTAAGCTGCAAAGTCCAGGGAGTTACAGTGGAGGATTTATCTGTGTGAATCTCTCAGGCTTGCAAAAGGAAAGTTAAAAAAAAAAAAACAACTAAATGCTGAGACACGGACAGATATAAATGGGCAGCAGGAGCTTTCCAGGTGATTTATATATCTTTCCTGGACTGGCAGAATGCATCGCATCTGATGCTACCTACCTCTGACCCTCAGCCAAGCTTTTACAAGTTATCTTGTCAGGAACCCTGGCAGACTTTAATCCCACCCTCTGCAGCCTAAACTCTAATAGCAGATGTTTATGGAAGGGGGCTGCCTTTTCCCCATTTAGCTGGCTTGATGGAATTCAGGTGGCAGGAGCTAACAACATATGGAAAGCCCATTAGAGACTGCATTAGAAATGACCTTTTAAGCTCTGTGCCTGTGCTATATTTCATCATTTTGGACATTACCTGCACTAAGGCATTAGACTCGGTTTGAGTCTGAAGGGTAATAAGGTACTAAGGAGAGGATTAGGATGTCTATTGATATCTGAATTTGTAGTGAAACTCAGAGAACTGTTCTGCTTGGTCCTAAAAAAAGACAAAAACAAAAGAACCTGTAACTATGTTGCATATGATGTGTTTTGGTTGGAGGAAGGCTGAAGGAATCACATTTACTTTACTTTAGTTTTGTGAATACTAACTTCTTTACAACATTTAAAGAGCACATCACTGTAGTTGTTTATCCATTGATCCGAGTTGTCTAGTTTTGGAGATAATGCCTTCACAGAGGCTGGCCTGCTCTTGAATTCATTGGAACTTAAAAGCACTTGTAGTGCTCAAAGCCAAAACTCGCAGCAATGCCTCTTTATAGAAATCATGACTGGGTTATTTAGAAAAGATCCACAAACCTTGCTGTGGAAGTGCAGAGGGGCTAATGCTACAGCATGGGAGCATGTTAGCATTAATGATGTCCCCTGTATATTAATACATTTAGCTTATGTACTGTAGTTTGCAAGAAACTACTCACAATATTTGTTTGTTTTTGATTATTTTTGGTTTGTTTTTTTTTGTTTTCTTAGTAACCAAGCCATATTTTTGGAAATAAACATTGCTTCTGTTTTTCAAATGTAGTTTAGTTTAGCAGTTCAAAAAAGAGCCCCTCCGACAGCCAAACCCATCTGTTCTCTGATTGGATTGTTACATTTGTGATTGACATGACATTGACCAATCAGATGAAAGGAAGAAAAATAGGGTCAAAATTCGTACTTGTAACTTGCAGAGATTCACAAGTCCACACACAAATTCTTTTTACACATACAAATCTTTTTTACACACACACAAATTCTTTTCACACATACAAATCCTGATTTACAAGTACAAAACTGATTTACAAGTACAAAATATTTATGACCACATTTTGAACCCATACACAAGGCTCGCGTGCGGAGTGAAGCGGAAAAAAAGTGCGAGAGAGAGGATGAGAGAAAGAAAAAAGAAAACCCAGCTCACGTCGTTCACGTCAAAGATCCGGCTCAAAGAGCAGTTTCGTTAGCGACCAACACATCACTAGAGCTGTCCCTTTAAGAAGGAAATAGGCTGAACAAAGAATTTGTACTTCTATAAACCAACAGTCTTTTCTTTATATTCCAAATCAGATTAGCACTGCATGCTCTTCCATTTTTTTGACTCTCATACAGAGACTCATTTGCATCTGCAGGCCCAACATAAATGTCAAACTGCACTCTCTGGCTCATTAATAATAAAATGGTACATCTAGATCCCTGAGCTTGTGTGGCATTTTTGGCAATTAACGAACTGACTTTTGTAATTTCAAAGGCTGCCCTTAGGGGTCCA